AACGGTTTCACAGCTAATTAGTTAACTTGTAACATTCACTGAAATGTCATGTACCCAGCTGAAATCTCCTACCTTGCATGTGGAGCTATTGAACACTGAACTGGCTGTGAAAGGCATGGGTTAAGAAAATATTGACTTGGGTGGCATAAACCTTCTTTTGTTCATTTTAATAAAATATTTGTCTTTATTACTAACTTCTGTATAAGTAAAGCTATAGTGGATTGAGGTGTGTAGAGTGTGTTTGGGCTTTGTAGATCTCTTTGCACTGTACATTTGCATTAAACTAAAAGTTCCTCTGCAGCCTGTTTGCTTTTCATTACAAAAATAAAATTAGAGGAAAACACAGCTTGAAATGGTCATTTGTTGTACTTTTAGTGACTGGAGTAGATTGCAAATCATACATGAAATGTATCCTGACGTGAATTGTTGAAAATGGTTATGAGACCAATTTTAAACGAATAAGTATCTTGATCATTTGAGTGAATCACTCAAAGACAGCTACTCGTTTCATTCCATGTCTACATTGATAAAAATTGGTCTTCATTCTCAGAAAGAAAAAAAAAGGTTCAAAATCTACACAAAACCTTTTGGGTACTGTATGGACTCTTTAGGTACAAATGTGTATCTTTTGAAGAGGTACTGCCCCAGTGACCACTTTTGTACCTTATTTTCTGAGTGTTGTGTATGGAAAAATATGTAAAGCTGACTCTAGTATTTGTGATTTATTAGTATTTGTTGTTCAGTCATGACCTAACGTAATAAGATAAGAAATAAAGTGTCATGAAGGAAGAGTAACATTACAACTGTTTATCGCATCATAATTATGATCATTTAAAAAACTGATTTTTCTGTTTTAATAGTCCTCACTACCAAAACTTTGTTTAGAAAATTTGAAGTTGTTTACTTTCATATATTGTATTATATGACTGTTAACATGAATCAGCAAAAGTCATTGCCTCTGAAAGAGTCATTATAAATAAATAAACACCTGCAATTTTGGTCAAAAACAACAAGCATATGGTATGTATTCTTAGGGAGGAAATGCTCCAAAAATCCACAAAGGGGGCCTCTAGTGGAAGAAACATAAAAAGTCAGAGTGGCAGGTTTTGTATTGGAATCCAAATCATAGACAATATGATAAACCTAATTTTAAATTACCTATGAAATGTACCTTTTACTCAAATCAAGTGTAGTTTTAATGTTGTGATCTGAGATGAATCATTCACTTCCTGTGGCTGTTCTTAGTTAAAAATGGTTATTCAAAAGGGTTGAAAATCATTTCAAACATGTTTTCATATTAAACATTTGAACGTTAAATTATTCAAAATGGTTGAAAATCACTTCAAACATGTTTTTGCACAAACTTGCACGGATCTTTCAACTTTTAGTTTGCACAGTTTTTTTATTTGTACACAGAATTGTGCAGTACGTTAAAGGTAAAGAGGATGTTTTGGGAAGGGACAATGATCTTCATTCAGAGGAGCAGTAGTGGTGGTTGTGCTTGTTGATCAACAAGTGCTTCAGTTTTGGATCGTTCCTGTAGCGTTCAAGCAGCAACTCTTTTTCTCTTCGCTGCTTCTCCTTCCGTATTTTCTTCTGCTCCTTTTTGTCATGAAGGAAGAGTAACATTACAACTGTTTATCGCATCATAATTATGATCATTTAAAAAACAGATTTTTCTGTTTTAATAGTCCTCACTACCAAAACTTTGTTTAGAAAATTTGAAGTTGTTTACTTTCATATATTGTATTATATGACTGTTAACATGAATCAGCAAAAGTCATTGCCTCTGAAAGAGTCATTATAAATAAATAAACACCTGCAATTTTGGTCAAAAACAACAAGCATATGGTATGTATTCTTAGGGAAGAAATGCTCCAAAAATCCACAAAGGGGGCCTCTAGTGGAAGAAACATAAAAAGACAGAGTGGCAGGTTTTGTATTGGAATCCAAATCATAGAATAGTTATTCAAAATGGTTGAAAATCACTTCAAACATGTTTTCATATTGAACATTTGAACATTAAACACGTTTTATGTGTTAATATTCAGGAAACTTGCATGGATCTTTCAACTTTTAGTTTGCACAGTTTTTTATTTGTACACAGAATTGTGCAGTAGGTTAAAGGTAAAGAGGATGTTTTGGGAAGGGACAATGATCTTCATTCAGAGGAGCAGTAGTGGTGGTTGTGCTTGTTGATCAACAAGTGCTTCAGTTTTGGATCGTTCCTGTAGCGTTCAAGCAGCAACTCTTTTTCTCTTCGCTGCTTCTCCTTCCGTATTTTCTTCTGCTCCTTTTTCTTTGCCTTCTCTTCTGCCCAGGTGAACAGAAAAAGTGGCACTTTTCTTTTGCTCTTTGGCTCTTGCTGGACATTCACATTGTGCTGGGTCTCATTTTTGGGACCTTTAGGAGAGGTTACACAGAACAGCTTCATCATGTGCTCATCCATCTCCTTTTTCTGAGAGGCGTCATCCAAATGCCCTTCTCTGGCCTTGGAGTCTCCCATTTCATCAGGGTTATCTTTCACTTCCTCAAATCCCTGGACCCCCACCACTTCACTCGCCCACACTTCCTCCAGCACCTCGCAGTCACTCTCTAACCAAGCTATCATCTGTCTCGGTTTCATTTCAGCCTCCAGCGGTCGGGGGCTTTCAGACTTGGGTAAGTCACAGGCCCGAAAGGTCTTCCCTGTGTACTCCACATACTCGGTCTCCTCATCCTCTATGTCGATGAGCATGAGTTGTGGAGGCGGCTCAAACAGGGAAGAAGTGGACGGCTGAGGCTTCACCGGGCTGGGAGGACACACTTGAGTTGAAGAACGTTGCAGATCAACAACTTCATCAGATTCAGGAGTGGGGCTCTGAGGAACCACCAGTTGTCTGGGAGGACTCACTTGGGAGCGTCGGAGGGAAAACAGTTCATCAGGTGCTGGAGTGGGACGTGGAGGAACTGCCAACGGTTTGGGAGGATACACTTGAAGAGGAGAACATGGCAGGGACACTTCCTCTGGTGCAGGAGCTGGCTTTTGAGGATGTATGGGCGGTCTGGTCACTGGCGGCAGGGGCTTGAAGCGAACAGCTGGTACAGGAAGGTGTTCAGAGACACTTGGAAGCACCGGAAGTTCTCCTTCTATTGGCTTCAAGAAGGAAGATCTCACTGGAGGACTGACTAGAGTTTGCTGAGGTTTGACCTCCACAAGAAGTGGAGTAGGCTCAGTGGTCTTTTGTTCTTTCAGTTTTCTCTTCTCCTCTCTATGCTCACTTCCTCCCTCCATCAAATTTTCTAGACTCTGCATCTCTGTGAATTTGGCAGACTCTCTTTTTTTCTGCGGCACATGTCCTCTATCCTTTATCTTTTCAAGGCTAAGTGTCTCTCTTCCTTTTTCAGCCTTGTCTTTATGACTTCCTCCCTCATTCATCTCTCTCTCTTTCTTCACCTTTCTCTTCACCTGTCTTTCCTTCTCTTTCTTTCCATACTGTAAAAACCAATGTTTCAAGTTTGTAAATAAAGATTATTGTAGTAAATTATACAAGACAATACTATTTCAGTCTTTCTATTTTCAAAATTTCACATTTAATTCAATGTGTTGATGTTTCTTTGTAATTAATTGTGAAATTTACTAGCAATTACTGAGTGAAACTTGATTCTAAACCAATGTTTTTTTTTCAGTGCAAGCTGGTACTTCTCAGCTAAGTTACCTGGCGGCGTCTCCTCCTGCACTTCCTGTTTTTGGCAGTGAAGTCGAAGGCCTCACTCTCACCCGCCTTCGTCAACGATGCCTCTGGAAGTTTCTCTAGTGCCGCCCGTTCTTGCGCTGCACATTGCTGTGCCCTCAAAGGTGTCTCCCTTCTGCGCAAGAAGTGAGCAAAACGCTCAAAAAGTTGTCTAAATACACTGCTAAACAGTGCCATTGTGGACACTGGATGCTGCAAGTGAATTCAATATTTGTCGTCAATATCTGCAGAAAGTCACGAAAGTAGCTTTCGATCTTTTCACTCCTAACACACCAACAGAAGACAATTAGTCAGAACAGCAGTTTAGAGCTGCCAGAACGGAATCTCCATTATGATGTCACAACAGTGAGCTGAACCCTGAGAACTCGGAACTATATGAGCAGCTCAAGAGAGAAGCAGTAAATACATCAACACTATAGTGGCTCCATATTAAATACTGACTGTTTCCTAAACTCTCCTCTTGCTTCTGAAAATGAAAAGATAATAAAAAAACTGATCACTTTTAAAAGACAGTTATAATTTAGAAGGGTACAGGCCAGATTGGACAGAAATTAAACATTTAAACAAATAATCTAACAGGCCTGTAAAACATTTCACCCTGTTTTAAACTTATAATAATAATAATAATAACAACAACAACAACAACCAAAGTTATTAAACTTGTAAGTTTTTAAAATTAATTTAACTTTATTTATTTACTTTCTTTTTTTTTAATTATGTTACATGGTCGATGTTACAGTTAGACTGGTTTTGGTTGGTTTTGTTTTAGCACTAGCTGAAAGATCAGCTTAAACCACAGTGACCAGTGTGTACATTTTAAACACAAATAAACAATTTTAACAATAAAGTAAGAATTGTTAACGATTTTTAAGTCTCTTATGCTTACCAAGGCTTAATTTATTTAATCAAAAATGCAGTAGAAACAGAAATATTGTGAAATATTACATTTATAAAAAACATTTTAATATAGCCTATTTTAAAAAGTACTCCTGTGATTGCAAAGCTGAATTTTCTGCAGCCATTACTGCTGAATTTCTACTGCTGACTCATAATCAATGTTGAAAATATTTCTTCTGCTTATTTCTTTCTTTTCCTTTTATTTTTTATTTTTTTGCATTATGCTGTGCTGGCTTCTTCATCTAAAAGTCTCTGACTTTAATAAATTAGTGCCTGATCCCCTCTGTATTCCCCGTAAAACTATATAGCCCATAAATTAATCTCATATACCATAGTTTCTATTTTATTAATACATGATTGCAGTTTGAAACAGAGCTAGACTGCATGCCCTAAACTGCTGTCTGTGTGGTCATCGCTAAGATTTGTAACAGACTCACACATGCGCGGTGAGACTGCGCATGCTCACTGTGCGCTCTGTGGTAAACCAGGGAATGTGTAGCTAGCTTGAGGAGTTTTCAGCTTTAATATCCTCGACCCTCGGGTGCGTGGTATAGGCAAGGAGCCATTTCTACCCAATTCTTAATTGTAATTGAAAATGTCCGTGTTCTCGGAGCCTGCTTTGGAGAAGAAATTATCAGAACTGAGTAACTCCCAGCAGAGCGTGCAGACCCTTTCACTGTGGCTCATCCACCACAGAAAACACTCCAAAACCATCGTCAAAGTCTGGTATAACGAGCTGAAGAAAGGTAAGGAGAGGTACATTATACGTTACCTCAAACACCTAGAATAGCTTTACAATGCGAGGTTATGTTATGTTTTGTCGTTTTGAAATAAAATTAAACAAGACATGTAGCAAACAAGCTAATCATAGGTTCCCTTATAAGCTAGCAGCTTAGCTCATTTAACGTTAGCAGTTAACGTACAAGTTTTGATTCCTTTACGTATTCTGCAGCTTACTTTGCAGGTTATTATTTAGACAAATCCTCAATTCCTTTTTTTGTTGTTGTTCTTTATTAGTGAACAATACCAGTCTGTATGAAAATTGCAGATATTGAGACACTCAGCAACATGTGTTTTTAGTCAACTCAGCTTAAACTTTCACTACAGCATATACGATTTTGGTGACTCTCAGAAGAAATATTCAATACAATATCTACATTAGATATGTTATGATCTATTTCCCACAGTTGTTGTTGTTCCCACTGACCCTGGCAGCCATTTTGAAGCATATACTCATCTGTTTCCATACTAGATTCAATTTTAGGCAATATTTGGGGGTTTTGGGCCATAGCCTAATGTTTTTTTTTTATTATTGTTTATTTTTGAAATTTCCAGTAAACATGGCAAGATGCAATGATTATACATGTACCCAGACCCCTTTACTTCCCTGCCTGGCACATGTGGTCTGTGTTGGGATGAGATCAGACCTGTCTGATCTAACAGGGTGTGCTTTAAAAAAAAGTGTAGTTGATCCCAAAGTCTAGTTTAGGATCAACTAGATCCCCCTCTTTGAATGGCAAGTACTGGGTTTTTATTTTATTGAGCTAAAAAAAATTTCATAGTTTTGGGTGGCCGAAATCAGTGACAGAAATAGTGATGTTTAATTAGCGCTTCTCTGGTGAGGCGTTTCACATGCTACTATCTATTTCATGCATGCATGGATGATGCTAGAATAGCTAAAATTTGTTTGGCCCGCTGCTGAAGAACTTGGTTTTATTTATTACGTGACCACACGACACCCTGAACAGCGCACCTTAATTACCCAATTACCTACCTTTAATTAAGCTTTATTTTTCAGTTTTTTTTTTTTTTTTGCTTTTGTTTTAAGAAATATATTTTTATGCAACACTATCTACCAGTTAGTGGCTTTAAATTTCATTGCTTACTCATTGCTTATTCCAATATTATGTTGCCACTTGCCACAGATTTTTGCGTCTATTTATATAGAGATGCTTAACAGAAATTGCCTAGGAACAATTTTTAAGGCTGTCTGTTGCTAGTATTGTCACAGGTCTGCACAGTCCTCTTTTATCTTCTCACAGACATGATAGACATTCACTTAGTCTGATCCTGCCTAACTGCTGGTGCCATTGAAGGCTTATTATAATGTTGCACCTTTGTGATGATGACACATAATGTGCTGTAGGAGTCTAGATTCTTTGATCAGCTCTCTTGTATTTATCTCCAACAGACTGCATGCGAACATCACGTTAAGGTGTACAATAAATTTATTGACATTAGGGCTCAATCTAGGGCTCAAGCTTATAGTATAATGATTCATTTTGTGTTTGGAAAACTGGTCTCTAGTAATTGTCATGTGTTTGACTTGTTGCACAGTGATGACATTGCAAGTACTTAGCAATGCAGTTTAGTTTACTTCAGTTTGCCCCAGTCAGAGTAGATGCAATACTTGATTGACAGCCACAGGGTCAGCACCCACCTACTTCCACTCACTATTACGAATCTACATCCCCTCCAGAAGTCTGAGATCCGCTAGTGAGCGACGCCTCGTGGTACCATCACAGAGAGGCTCAAAATCACTTTCCAGAACATTCTCGTTCACCGTTCCTGGCTGGTGGAATGATCTTCCCACCCCTATCCGGAATGCTGAATCCCTGACAATTTTCAAGCGACAGCTGAAATCTCATCTCTTTCGACGCTACTTTACTTCAAACTAAATGTAAAATGTAAATGACATAATAAATGCAAGTTATAAAGCCGCTGTGTAGATGAAGTGATTTTAATCTGCCCTTTAGAAATGGTGCCATCTTTCTATATGAAAATTAATTATTTAATTAGAGTTTCTTAAGAAGTGTTGAGTCATTTTTATTTAGACCTAGTTAGTGATTGGTTAGGACAACAATGAGGGCTTGGGATTACTGTGTGGACTAGCAGTGCTAAGATTAATTCATAGGATTTCATGCCGTCTCCGAGTGATTACCGTGCGTTCTTGGTTTTATGGTTTAACCTAGTTGCTTGAGATTGATCTCCCTTTAGGCTAATGGGATAATATTACAGCTTCAGAATAACATCATCAAGTGCAGACTGGTTGAATTCAGTGTTGTGCTTTTGAATTAGGTTTGTTATCATGAGTGTTCATCATTTTAAAGTTATTACATGGCCTTTATTTCTAAATACTGTGCATTTGCTTGCAGATGGGATTGGATTATTGGTGCATTGCTTGAGTGGTGGTAATAAAAAAACAGTGCTATCTTTAGATCATTTCTCCTGAGATCTCATTGTGTGGATAGTGAAGGTGTAGTTTCCATAGCAGGTTTTTGTGTTCAGGAGGAATCCATAACAAGCATTTCTCGCTCAAAAACCTACATGCTTTTGTTGCTTAGTACATATTTTAATTGCTATTCAGTTACTCCAAATATATTATTTTCCTCTCAACATTCAAAACCAATATAAATGATTTAATTGGTTTAATTAAGAAGCACATGCCTTTTCTTTTAGACCACAAATATTTAAAGAATAAGAAATGTTTTTTTCTCTCTCTGTGCAGCCCAGGTGTCCCGTAAGCTGACTTTCCTGTATCTTGCTAATGATGTCATACAGAATAGCAAGAGGAAAGGACCAGAGTTCACTCAAGAGTTTTCCCCAGTTATTGTTGATGCTTTCAAACATGTCTCCAGGTGAGTTAGACCAGTGTATTTGGGCTGTTTAGCTCCTATGTAAATTGCAATTGTTATATTTTCTTATTTAGTGGGTTTAGTACACATACACACACAATATTGACAAAAGTACTGGGACACTTTTAATGAACAGGTTTGACTACTTTAGTAATTTCCATGAGTACAAATCTTAATATTAAAGCATATAAAGATATTATATTCTAGGGAATTTTGGACAGGATGCTTTTTTATTCTAACATGACAATGCCTCTGTGTATAAGGCAAGGTTAAAAAAGAAATGATTGATTCAGTCAGTGTGGAAGAACTTGACTGGTCTGCAGAAAGCAAAGTCCTAATCCAAGCTGAACACCTCTGGTGTGACTTTAAATGCAAACCTTGGCTTTAAAAGCCAAAAACTCCACCAAACACCAATGACTTGTACATATGGACAAGAGTATTGGGATACCCCTTTCTACAGAACAGAAAAAGGCACTTCCAAAACTGTGGCAACAAAGATGGAAACATAATTCATGTATGTAAAAATTGTATTTCCAGTTTTGGAAGTGTCTAAAATAACTGTACCCATATGTACAAGTCATTGGTGTTTGCATGTGTATATATACAGTTTTATGCACAAGTTTGGGCACGCCTCTGAGGCTGCATAATAATTTGCTCTCGTAGTGACAAAAGATCGTAGTGATATGCCATTCAGTTTTTAGAGAAAGATGGATAATGTGAACTTAGTGTAGCAGTTTTGAGATGTATGAAATAAAATCAAATGTGAAAAATAGAGAGTGCAAAAGTTTGACCTCCCTTTCAGTTGTGGTGATTTGAATATCTGTAGTCACTTAATGCTGATTGATTGCAATTCAAAATTGATTTGATTGGTTCAATGAACATTAGACTGAAAATACAGGTTCAACAAATCATGAAAAAGGATATTTAAGGTAGCTAATTGCTAGTTGTTCTTCTCTTTGAATTTCTACTGGAAAGTAGCAACATGGGAACCTCAAAAAACTCTCTAAAGACTTAAAAACTAGGATAATTTCTCAATATCAATTAGGAGAAGGATACAAAAGTCATCTCAAAGGTTTAAGGTCTCTGTCTCCACAGAAGGAAATATGTGGTAGGCCAAGAAAAATATCTGAAAGGCGAAGAATGGTTAGAATGGTCACAGACAAACCACAGACCACCTCCAAAGAGCTCCAAGAACATCTTGCTGTTGATGGTGTCATTCTACATCGCTCCACGGTCCAGCGCACTTTGCACAAGTCACAGCTCAGTGGAAGGGTGATGCGGAAAAACCTTTTCTGTGTACTGCCAACAAGCAGAGTCGTTTGAGGTATGCAAAGGCTCGTCTGGTTCATGTTCAAGAATCAGTCAAGAGGTTGAAGTTACAGGACAATGATCCAAAGCATTGTTCCAAATCTACCAAGGAATTCATGTACAGACACAGATACAGTGTGTTCTAGAATGGCCATCCCAGTCCCCAGACTTGAACATCATCGAAAATCTATAGAATGATTTAAAGCAGGCTGTCCATGCTCGGAAACTATCAAACCTGACTGAACTGGAGACATTTTGCAAGGAAGAATGGTCCAAAATACCTG